CAGATTGGTCCAAATAATAGACCAATCCGCCGAGCCGTTACGTTACATTATGTCACTATACCCGAAATACGTCGCGATACCCAAGAAGTAAACAATGGAAAAAGGCGTTCTGGGGCAGCATAGAAAGGTCTTCTCTGTGTTAGAGTTTTACTCGCTACAGGGTGTACTTTGAGGGTTTGTGACTCATGCAGACCGTTTACATGCATAAAAAGCTACATTACACACAAGGGGACGGGTAATAACCAGAAAAGCATGACATGGGACCTTTAAACTAAAGATTATAGCTCTTGTTTCTTGAAATGCTGAACATTGTCTGACATGTGTGCCTAGCAGTAGTTGTGTTTAAATGTGTGAATGCCAGAAGATTAAAGTACACAGCAAGTACACACCTGAGGTTGTTGTAGTTTTCAGGCGGCAGTTGTTTAAGTAGTACTCTGAACTGCTCCAGTTTCTCTGGCAAGTTTTTTTCCCTGTGAAGAAAAACATAAATCTCAAGAAACTGACTTCAAACCACAGCTGAAATATATTTAAAAAGCGTAGATAATATACACACCCTGCTGCTTTAAACCAGTCGTTGTAGAGTTCAGAGGTCATTAGAGGCTCGGGAAGTTCTCGCAGGTAACCCTTCAGAGCTCCTGTCACAGTAACAGATAAATAATGCATTTAAACAAGAGCTACTTTGCGATAAATACTGTCCATTTGTGTCAATAATTAATAACCAACGATACATATAGGTCTATGTCCCAGCTCATAGAGTCCTGTTGTGAACCCGGAAATGTTGATTAACCAAAAGTTTTAATATAGAAGTGTAAAGTACGGAAACTCCCGGATGCTAACTTTAAATATGTTGGGCAATTTGCACATTTAGCACAAGTTGCAATAATTAGCATTATAGTTTGTGTAGACAATAGTTAAAAATGGCTTGGTCGATTACGACAATTTGGAGTGGTTCTGGGGGTTATTGGGGATTCTGAAATGTTTAGGATCAAAATGGTCCGTTTTATGCTAATTGTGCAAATTGCCCAACATAGGCCTATGTGAGTTAGCATCTGGCAGTTTGTAATTACTGGGTTCCCTGCTATACATTTCTTTAATAAAACGTTTGGGTACTCCGGGTTCACTGTGCTTGCAGGTGGACTATATTGTCATTTGGTTGCCTGTTTTCTTTAACTATTTGGTAAAAGTGGACCCACACACATGAAACCTGATCTAAAAGTATCCAGCTCACAGGAAATATTCATGTTACATTACTGGAAGCTGCAACCGCGTCAGTATTTGGAGTGAACAGAAGAGGAACTGTGCAGAAAGCATGAAAGTCACGTTGACTGAACAAACGAGGAAGAGTGAAATCTGAGGGAACAGAGGCGGGGTAAACCCTACCGGCCACAGCGTGAGGGTCCATGCTGAACTCGCTGTGGTCGACCGCTTCCTGGTCCAAACACATCTTCAGCCTCTTCACCACCGAGGCAGCCGCCGCCAGACGAAACAGACCCTGAGGGACGAGAGAAAGACCGAGAGGGATTAAATGTTAGAGCTGGAGCAGGAGCAACCGTGCAGAGCAAAAACACTTAAAGAGGCCCTATTGTGTTTTTTGAGGTTTCCCTCTCTTGTAGTGTGTTTTATAGTGTGCATGTGAATGGTCTGCAAAGGCTAAAATCCCT